TTAAGTCACTGGACTTCTTGTGGAAATTATACTCTTCCACATTACTGTGATTCAGAAGGGATAAATACCAGGACTTGTTGACTAAGGATGATTTTCAGGTAATATGGATCTTGATTGCTGAGTTCACTCATGGCAATAAGGGCAAATTAAAGAACACAATTAAGAAAGGCTGTTTAATATCTGGGATGGTCTTGCAGGCCTGGGTGCTGCAGTTACTACTGTGAGCATGATGGTAATTGTTCATGGAGTATCGAAGTTACAATCACAGGGTATCCTAAATCTTCAGAGAATAGACTACAAACTGCTACCTATAGCTTTGAACTACTCAGAGATGACTGAAGATGCTGTGAAGTTAGTGATGAGAGCAAGCCATGCAATGCTGCCTTTCCTCTCTGTTACTGCAACTTGTTTTGTCCGGAGCAGAAGCCAAAGCATCACATAGATGGAAACCTGTGCTAAAAGTACTGAAAATATAATGGTAACAAGTTTTCTCATCTCTAGCAATACTTTATTTACTTGCTGTGATGTCAGACAGTATGACTAAGGACTGCATCAGACTGAGTCTTGTCAAATCTTTGAATTCTGCCTTGTACTGTTTTCCTGGTTAGTCTGTCTCCTCAGTATGTGTTGGCTTATTGCCTTTGGTTGCCTAACCCCTTTGTTTGTATGGTACCTACTTCTTTCTCTGTACTTCAGGAAATTTTTTCATAAGAGTCTGGTGGGAAAATATACTCTTATAGGACATCAAAGATGTTCTCGAAGAATAGAGGACATTTTCATTTCAAAGAACCTCAACAGACATTTTCATTTCAAAGAAAAAAGACTAATCTTCATCATAACCTAGATAAGAGGAGGCCCAGTGTTTAATTTCTACTTCTGTATCTTTCAATTCAGACCTTTCTTGTCTCAATTGACTATTGTCTTTTAGCACTTACAGTATGCCTGGCTCTCAAGAAATAAAATAGTGGGTTTGAATCATTACCAGTAATGGTTCTTGAGAGTCCTTGTGGTAATAAAATTCTTAGTATATTCTTAATGGTTGAAATTACACACCTAAATCAGATGTACCTGCATCTGGATGACCACCTGATCCAGGGAAAGTCTTGTTAGGAGGTACTAAGGCAAATTTGTTCTTAGTTCTTCCATGTTGGGACACGTGGAGATGTGGAAGAGCTGTCTTGCTGGACAGAATTCCTGTGAGCAGTACTTAATTTCTCATTGTCAAATGCTGATTTTCCAGAGGACAAGTTTCAAGTCTTTCAGGACTATATGAAAACATATGTGAGCGCTTCTGAATTATTACTCCTGTAAAGTCACATGTTCATGGTGCACTTCACCTCAAGTTGCTGGCAATTTTTAATGCTAGTTTAAGCCACCGTGCTTTGCTTCGCACTTGCAGTTTGCAAAAAGCATGGTATTGGTGATTTGCCATATTAAGTTGTTTTGCTTTAGTAGTTGGGTGCTCAAAGCTGTCGAATGTGCTTGTAATACCTGATTTAATTCACCAGTCCCCTTTGCACACTGCTGGTTGGCTCCTCACCATGCTACTTAAGATCAGCTTTTAGTCCATGCTACAGAGGAAAAAGAGAAGCAGCGGTACATAGCAGACTTTCCTCTACAACTTGGCTGGCTCTGTGCATGCACTCAGGAAGAGATTTCTTGCATGGACCCTGCTGGAATAGGGAAAAACTGATCCACCCCTAACAAGTTGACACACATTCTGCATGTTCCTGCTGATTAGGATCTCATTCTTCCCCAGTTCCTTGAAAACTAGGCCCAGTGTCTTTGCTGCCAAAGAATTTCTTTCTTTAAGGCTGGCAATGTGAAAGATTTTCTGTTAAATTTTTTACCTATTTTAAACTTATGTATCACATGCAGATCTTTAAAATCAGCAGCCAAGAATGAGGAGATTTACTGCCTTGGTAGATTAGCTGAGTTTCGGAGTGCTCTGTATTTGTGTCTGAACTTGTTAGGCCAGATGTTAATCATCTGGCCACTGTAGCTCAGTCCTGAGTGATCAAATCTATACAAAGATGGAAAGGTATGTTTGTAAATGTAGGAAGTATGTTACTTGTTTGTGTTTCATGTTTCTTGTTTGTTTTGTGATAGACTAACATGAGTGCAGAAGAAGTAGTGCTTGAGGACTTGCACTCAAGAGTATTAAACAAGATGCACTAACTGGTTGTAGATAAAACACAGAAGTAAATGAGACCATGTTGATTAGCATAAGTAAAGTGCATTAGCTGTGTCCTAGCAACCTGCCTTGTGTTCTCCATAAAAGAGATTTTTAAGGAGGAAATTGATAGAAATTAATATTTCACCTATTTACAAATTCTTCATTGAAATTCAAGCAAATGCAAGGGGGAGAATCAGTGTTTTTGGTTTGAAAATCTGACAGGTACAAGTGGGCCCATTGATACTGAATAATATGATAATGATAAGGAGAACTGAAGCAAATGCTGGAAAGAGATACCATTCTTAAAATTAATTTTTAAAATTTTGGATTACGAAATTATTATCCCAAGCAGTTATTACAAAGAAATAGGAGAGGAGACAAGGATATAACCAAACAATCAAGGACTTGCAATAAATCCAGCTTTCATTGTCCTTCTCTGTGGTCTTTCGTCATGGTAACTTTCTTAATATCCTGCATCTGACAAAAGAACATGGATACAAAAGATCCATATAAGTACTAATTATTTTGTTAGAACTTAGTGCAAATCAAGGTAATTAAATTTAAATAACCTCCTACTTGGAAAGTATGTACAAACCAACTGTGGTACATGGTGCTCTGTCCTGCTATTGAGCTCATTCAGACAGAATATGATGTACCTTGTGAAAAATAAATTTGGTTTTTCCTCATTGTGCTTATGGAGGGAAGCAAAAAAAACACAAACCCAAAAACAAACAAACAACAAACCCCAAACCCATGCTTTCTTGTTCCAGAGTTTTACTTTGCCTTTATGACATCACTGTATATCTCTGTATTACTGCATTTAAATTTAAAATTAGATTTTGTTATTCTGACAGCTCTTTAGACAAAATGGGTATGTGCTAGAAGAAGATATAATATATATGTTCTAGTAAGCTTTTCACTTTTTAATCTGAATGACTTGTAGGCAATTTCTCTTAGTAGTTCTTCATCTGCTAGAAAGAAGGGAAAATGTTAACCTTACTAGAAGAAGAGGCTCAAAGGAAGCTGCCTTCTGTTCCTTGGTTTCTTGTGGTGGTTCTATTCTACATTGAAGTGTTGCTCTAAAAATGTGTATGCTTTTGCCCAAACAAAGAGAATAATAACTCTAGGCCTCAGTCTCGTCCTTCTTCTGCAATTAGAAAAACGGAACATTCAGTCGTGTTAGAAAGGAATTTTGCAAAAGAAGCAAGACCCAAGAGCTTAACCATAGGTCTAATTTATTCACAGCTTGAATAATCACAACAATTGTTGAAGTAGTATTTTGTGAATTCTGAAGCCATGTAGAAAGAGTAACTGATTTTTTTAAATTTTCAAAGAACAGACAATTTAACTTTAGTAAAAGTAAGTGCAGTATTTTAACGTTTAGATGTGTGCTACTTATTATCCAGAAGGGTCCGAATAACACTTCAGGCTTTTATTTCATGGGAATTCCCACTGATTATTGTGGCGAAGTATGAGATTGAATGCAAGATTCCTCTTCCTTCCCTTTCCTACATCTCCTCCTCCCGCCCCCCCCAAAAACTGTGTTAGCTTGAAACTGATACTTGAGTCTTTTCATGGACTGATAAAAGTAGTCCTGAAGATGATTTTTATATGTTGAGTAATTTTAGCAGCAGTTTTGCTTTTTGTAGGTTTTGTTATGATCCATGATTCTTTGGTTGTGGGTTGTTCCAAGGTTTCTTTTGTTTATTTTTTGAGGTTGTTTTTTAATTCATGCATACATAGAAAAGGAAAAAAACACCCTCATGTTTTTGAAGAACCTGAGTGTGTAATGACATTAAAACAGAGTAGCAGCATGATGACGGTATATTACTGGCTTGATGGTCTTTGCTGTGAGGTCTTTGGACTAATAGTAATACAAATATTTTTACTTTGTGGTCTTTGACAAAGTAGCTGAAAATTCTTTCACAGGCTTATGGTTGCATTAGTTATGGAAGTTTAGTGTCCTCTTATAATCTGTTGCTTGATGTTACATTGCTGGCACAACCCATGTGGTCACTTTACACTAAGATAAATAGGATAATGAGATGCTGCTAAAGGATAGTTCTGGCCTCTAGTTTACACTCATTTCCCAGTGGTGTGACAGTACAACTTGCTGGCTAAAAATCATTCTGGAGTTCTACCTCAAGGTGTTTTTGAAGTTCTTGGGTTTAGATTCCTCTGCCACTGAAACTAGATAGAAACTGTGGCAGCTTAACCAAAAAGTAGCTTAATAATGATGGGAGAGGGAATCTGTGGTGGTGTATATGAAATCTGGAATTGGCCATGTTATTACCAATCATAAATACATTTTTTCAATTGTGACTTTAAAAAAAATTATGCATAGAGCTTCCACTGCTAATACATTTAAATGAAGGGCATATCCAGCCTGTGTGTGTATCTGGATTTAAAAAAAAAAGTCCTCTAAGCAGTTCAAGAAAAAGATGCTATTACTGGCTTGCTGAGAGAGGATTAATTAGGAAATGTCTTCCCTTATCTGGATTTCTAGAAGTTACAGTGGTTCACTTCCTCTTAGCAGAGAATTATTATACAGAACACTAGGCACTTTATTAAATAATTATTTTATTATGTATTTGTTCTCTGGGTCTTGGTACTTTTGTTAAATTTGAAGTTATTTGCTAGACAGCTATTCAGTTGTCAGATGAAGGGATCAGCTTGAAATAACTTGTAATGGAGTATGATATGTTTGAATAACTAAAAGCTAGGGAGAATCTTGAAATTTGGGAGATCTCCAGGAGAATCTTTTTTGCATAAATACTAGCTTTACTCTGCATACCTTTTATTCCCCCCCTTCCCTTTTCTCTAGTACTGATACTCGAAAAGGTGGAAAATGGAGATCTGAGCAACAAGATGTTGAAGATCACGGATTTCGGCTTGGCCAGGGAATGGCATAAAACTACCAAAATGAGCGCAGCTGGAACATATGCCTGGATGGCTCCTGAGGTCATCCGCTCCTCCATGTTCTCCAAAGGCAGCGATGTTTGGAGGTATTGATTTGGCATTAAGTGATTGGATACTAAAGAGTAACTAGACCTGCCTGGAAACCTCTTTTATGTTTAAGAATGAGTAATGGTGAACCAAATATTAAAATTCAGGTCTTAAGGAAACTTTATCCATCAGCTTTCCATCTGTTAGACTTATCTCAGACTTACTGTTACTATAGAAAGTGGTGGATCAGCTACTGCATGCCTCTAAATTTTTGTTGTTCTATAAATTTGCATTCAGATAATTTTGGGACTCAAAATCAAATCCCTTCTGCTTTATCTAAACTAAACTTTTTGTGCTTATTTGGCTGTTGGCTGACATAATCAAAGGCCATAATACCATTTGAGAAGTACTTTACTCTTTTACCTATAGTAAGATAATTTTATGTTTTGGTAGTAATCTGTCACTGATGTACTGTACTTAATTGAATTCCCCATGCAGTTTCAATCCAAATGTGATGTTTTTCACTTTCATTATTCTTATTAATGATTTCCACCCTTCTAGTCTTTCATAGGGTAATAAATCTCTTCTCTAGGTCTGCCTGAGTACATAATCCATAAGTAGTAACTTACATGTATATTTTGTCTTTTCCATTCATGCACTGGGATTTTTGTGAATGAATTAATTTAGTGGGAAGGAGTGTAACAGTCAACCCATAGACTTCCAGAAGCTGAGTTTGAATACCGCCATTAAGTGAATTAGTAAATAAAGAATTCAGTAAATAGCTCTAGGACAGTGACTTTTCTGGGTGCTGGATGATTTAGAATTAGTACTGAACATCTGAAACAGATGAATTAGCAAGAATTTTGTTTTTCTTATGGAGAAAGACGTGTTGAAATGTCAGGGTGACTTCATCTTCAGAGCAGTACGGTTCTGTTGCTGGCCAGTAATGCTCTCGCACAACTGAGTGCATACTGTGAAATCAGTCAGGATAAAGAATATCCCAGCTGGCAGAATTGCCTGGCTGTTATGGCAGAGATTTGGTGTGGGGATTTTCATTTTCCTTATCCAGATTTGCTGAATAGATATTGCTTTGTGATAAGTCTGTGAACTTATATTTTGCACGCTAATAGTGTGGGTAAAATTCTGACTCTGTAATGAAATGTGGTAGCCTCTGTAGTTAATCTAAGACAAATTGAGCAAGAACCAGGCTTTTATTCTGAGTGAAATCTGAGAGAAGTGAAAATCTCAGGGGTGTGCACCTTTCTGTGTACATGATGACAATTCTGGTTTGCACACAGCTTGTCAAGCTCCAACCTCAACTTGCTCTTCCCTGAAACTGTGCCAGGAATGGCCTTTAAGGGTAACCTGAGGGAAAGGGAGAAGGCAAAGGGGAAACTGTTTTGCTGTAATTGTAATTGTAATCCAGGCATGCTGTGAACAGATCAGTAGATGTTCTGTACCAGTATGAGTTCATTTTAAAAAAGGTAAGACTTAATTGGTTGGTTGATGATTTTTGTGAAGGTAGCACAAGTGCCTCTTTATCTGTGCAAAAGTACCGGTTTGGTCATTGACTTACGAACTGTGAATCACTTCAGGACTTAAGGATTGTACATAACTTAAATGATTGGGTCATTTTTAAGAATACTTTATTTCTACTTTTAAGATTCCTTCATTGCTTTCTCTTGTTATAGTTACCAGTCTTGCCTTGAAAACAGGTTGAGTTCCTCACAGTATTCTCCCCTAAACAGAGTGTCATCACCATTAAGAGAACTTATATACTATCTCTGAAGAAGCCTTTTCTCCTGGGTGGCTAAAACCTCTATTTGTAGTTAAATAAACTGAAAAGAACACGATGTTTGAGGTGTGTATGCAGAGGACAAATACTTTCCAGGGCAGTCACTACTAGTGTGTCAATGATGATAAGCACTAGATTTTACAAAAGCAGTCATGGACTTGTATAATAAATTCTGTCCCCACCCAAGGATGGAACCAGAAATTCTTAACAGGATGAACTCTCTTATCCTATTAGACTTGCCCTTCCTCATGTCCAGTTCAACCTCTTGGTTAATCATTGGAGTCATTGGGAGTTTTTTTACCTGGCAACCTTACTGTTGATCTGTGCAGCATCAACAGAATTGGCTGTCTCTGTCTCTCTAACATTCACAAACCCTTTTATTTCAACACCTTTTCTTTAAAGCTTGTTAGAATAATACTGCTGGCTGAATTGTTGCCCAACCATTGAAAAAGGATCTTGTTCTACTTGGGTTGTCACTGCAAAAGCAGGTGAAGAAGATGCTGAAGAAGATGCTTGCTAGGACTGCAATTTCCTGAGTCAGTCTTATCATAACTAACTGCTTCATCCTTTCAAAACATGTATCAAGCTCCATTTAAAAAATCCAAACTGTTTTTATATCCCACTGTAAAGTAGGATTGGCAAAAAACTTTAAAGAGTGAGGAATGGCCCCACACACTGGTGTCTGTCACCAGGGTCTGGGCCACTGTAAGGCCTGTTAATATTACCAGTACCTAGTAAAACTTGCTAGTGAAAACTTGTTACTGTGAATTTTGCTCTTCTGTACCTGCAAGCTTTAGATATATAGTAGAAACCTTGTGCTTATATTGCACAGAGGACAAAGAAACTACAGTTTTATTTAAATAAGTCAGTTCTGTAAATCTATTTATGTGTTTAGATTTGCTTTGGATTTGCAGGGGTGAAGTTGAAGCCTGGATATTGCATCTTATCCAGTACTATACAGCAAGCTAATTTTAGTAGGCATATAAATCAAATTTCCCTGTAATTTGACTGCTTAAATGTGCAGCAAACAAGAAATACACTTAATTTTTTACTTGTGCTGCTTAAAAGACAGTCATTGTCAGTATGATTGGTATGTGGAATATAAAGGCACCATACAACCTTCATCTGAGTTCCGTGTGTTCCTCAAGTTAGATGCTTTTAAGATGTATCTACTCTGACACCAGTGAAATAATTGGGAATTTAATTGTCATTTGGAAATGGAATACCAGCACTAGCTAAAACCATCAGATTAGCAGATCAGGAAGTTTGAGGTATTTAGTGCTGCATGTAGAAACTTAAGTCATTAGAATGTTTTGTTTTAATCAAGTGTTGGTCAAGTACTTCCATCTACAACTGACTGATGGTAGGCTTTTGTAATTCCCTGTGTGAAATGAAGCACTGGCAAGACTTCAGTACCTGGCAAGTAAGTGCTGACTAGCAGTGTTAGTAGAAGCTCACCCAGGAGAAGCATAATGACTGATGTGAAATGGGTAGAAAATGTCAACTCTGGAACTGCAAGTTCAATAGCATGCAAAATGCTAACTGCTAATAGCCATTAAAATGTAATGAGGTTTGTGGAGTTGTCTCTTAACAAAAGTAATGTTCTAGTTTCTGTTGGAACTGGGGTCTCCTTGTTGGGCTGATAATTCCTTGTGTTGAAACCTAGGGAAAGTATTGAACCTAAGGATATGGAGAAATCAATGGTACAAATGCCATGGAACAATATCAGTGGGAAGAAATTACTGGGTTTTTTATAAGTTCACAGACTAACAAGGGAGGTGGCAAAATCACATGTGAAATCCTGCAGACCTCCAGCCTCCCTCACCCTGAAAATCCAGTGTGTAGGATTGAACCTGATGTTAAATGGCTTAAGGGATTACTGGATCACTGAAAGATGGTTAATTATTCACACAAGTGTCAGTTGACTTGGATGCATGGTCTGTATCACATGGTTCATTTTGTAATTAAAGTCCAAAAATTACTACTGGGTGCTGGAAAAATAAATGAGCTTGATCAGTTTTTTGTTCTCCCTGCTGAGAATGAGTAGATGCCCTTGTTTCTTTCTTCCTATGCCTTTTTTTTTTGCATAAGTTTTCTGACTCTGGCTTTTTCCTTTGTACTTCCCAATTTTCTGCTTGAGAGTTAATGGAAAACACTGTTCAGCACCTCTCTTGCTGTTTAATCACTTGGGATTACTATTGTTAAGTGCCACAAAGCAGTATTCCCCTAGTTCCGTGGAAGCAGTATTCTCAGCAATGTACTTGTAAGTATGTGAGGAAGAGGTGGCATCCAGTTTTATCAGAAGCAAAGTGACCTTTCCTGCAATATGCACATACAGTGTCACATTAGAAGAAACATCAGTCTGTCTATTCCTTTGTCCTTTAAAATTGACTCTGTGGAAGAAGTGCTTAGAGCACATCAATAGTGCTTTATCCAATACTAGTGGTAAAGTAATAATACAACTGTTTGTTAGTTTTTACTACCTTTTGCTACCAAGAGTCGTATCCAAACTGAAGAGTAACATGAATGGTCAATTAGATTTAGAGTGTCCAAATATGCATTCAGTCCAGTATTCATTTTCTTTGAGTGTTTATTAATCGTAGAAGGACAAAAAAGAAAATGGGAACTCCTTAACTCTAGTTAGTTTTTTATAAATGAGGCTCTTGAGGCAGTAAGAAGTAATAAATTACAATATCAAGAATATGAATTACATAGAAAAAAAGCAAAATATTGTATAGGTAAAAAGATATACTTTGCTGAATAAAGGAAACTAGCTGTGTTAGCAGCAAAGGTGGAATCATTAGTGACTAAAGTCCTATATCTAAATAGGAAGAGTACTGTTAAGGATGTTCAACTAAAGTGGCAGCAGTCACAGTGAATTGTAAGGACTTGGTAAGGTGGGGGGGTTAGATTGCAAAAATATGGGTTGTGATAATGTACTCTCAAGTGGCTAGGGCAACTGTTGCTTTGAAACAAGAAAAGCTTAATCTTTTAGCTTCAGAAATGACTGTTTCATGGAGCAGCTATTTAAGGAGCTTGTAGGAGGAACAGCAGTTTTTCATTTGGTCTTCAAGTGTGCTTATGAAGCCTTCAAGATTGTACAGTAGCATGGTTGATGATACTGAGTTATTCAGGATTAAGAAAAACTAATCTACTGCAGAGAGCTGAGGAAAAGTTTTACTATAATGAATGATAAAATAGATGGTAATATATACAAAGTAGTACCCATGGGAGAATTTCACATGTACAATGACGGGCTCTAAATTTTACTATGATGAGTCAGTAAAAAGATATTGGAGCTACTGTGGGTAATATAGCTCATTTTGTAAAGAGTCAGAAAGGCAAGTAGCAAATTGAAATTTAATAGGAAATTAAAGCAGTACCATTTGTGCCTCTCCCTGTATCTTTTTAAAACTTTGTGATGTTGCTCATTCCAACAGAAGACGTCAAGGTCAATGAACGATATGAAATGGCTTCTGTTTGGGATAGTAACTAGATTAGGATTTAGCTAGATTAGGATTTGGGGGTCTGGAAAGAAGGTGATTTAGGCAGGATGCATGGGAGCCTGTGAAATCATGGATGGCATGGAAGGAGCTAATAGGGGAACATATGTTCACTCTTTCTTATTTTGAAAGAACTACAGTGAAGCAAATGAAATTACCAAGTGACAAACTCAAAACAAATACACAGAAGTATTTTTTGGCAATGCATCATTAAATTTGTGGAATTCACTACCACAGAACATAGTGGATGGTAAATGGGTTCAGAAGAGAGTAGGACAGATAGACCAATGAAAGAAAAACCTGTGAGGTCACCAAGTATGAAGAAGCAGTTTCTGGTTCAGGTTTCCTACAAGTAGAGAAAATATTCTGAGGATGTGTCATTCATTGTATACTTGGGGGGAGAACAGTCTTGAAACTATTTCCATGACTTCATAGTTAATATTTCATGGAACATCTTCAGAACAACTTAATTCTGAAGAAGTATTTTTGACTTATTTTTAAAAATAACATCCCGCCAAACAACCCTCCTTCACATTTTTAAGTGTTTTGAGAGGTGCTGCTTTGAAACTTGCTAAATTAGTTAGAAGATTTATGGTTTTCAATTGTTCCAAATTTCCAGAGAGAAAATTATTTTTGTCTAAAAGGTGAAAATGGCATCTTATTTCAGACTTATTAAAAAAAGGCAGTTCAAATAAGGCACATCACCGGATTGGCAATCGTGATAAGCTTGTCCAGAAAACTGCAATTTCTTTAATATACCAGACTCACTCTTATAGGTTCAGGTACCTTCTTGTTGCTTAACAAAGAATGTGTGTAAGTCAAACACCTGCTCTCTTTTCTGTTTCTTCCTGGTAGTTACGGTGTGCTGCTTTGGGAACTGCTAACAGGAGAAGTTCCATTCCGAGGAATTGATGGTCTTGCGGTAGCATACGGTGTTGCCATGAATAAACTTGCCCTTCCAATCCCTTCCACATGTCCAGAGCCTTTTGCCAAACTCATGGAAGGTAAGCCAGGTGTGATGTGAGTGTGGTTTGTGCTGTTTCTAGAGTGCTGTTGAGCACTGCCTCTTTGTGTTGGTTTTGATACCCAAGAGCACAGATTTCTCAAATGGCTTTATTCAGTGGTGCAGGTTATTACAGGAGCCAGGCTTGGCTGTTAATGTGCTGTGACAGTTCCTCTATTACCAGAGTAGTGAAAGAAATTTCTGTGCCTTTTTTTATCAACTGACTTTATAGGAAAATGGGGACTATTGCTGTCATCATCTAGTTTGTTTTCTAGTAATGAAGGCTCACCAGCACCAAAACTTCACATGTTTTGGTCTAGTTTGAAGTCTTAAACTTGTTTTAAAATTCATAGCTTGAACATCGTGCTAGGCAGTGATTTGAAATTAAACTTTATCCTACTGACATTTCAGGTAGAGGGTTTAAATGTGGCTTTGACATTTCAAAACAACCAATATTTTCAGTCAGAAAGATGTTATTTTCTGCTTTGTAGGTGGAGATAGTTCATGCCCACAGTGGACTACATAGAGATGAAAGAAATATAGGACTACCTCATCAGAGCTGCTGTAGTTATTAAAAAGGATTGTGTGAGCTAGCTTTCGGGGTGTACTTATGTGTCCTTCCCTGCTGACCCTTGCAGCTACTTGCTTGTTTCCTTAGCTGCAGTCATCCATCTCTCCTTCCATCTCTCTCTTCCAGTATTACCCTTAGTAATTTTGTCAGTGCCCCTATTCCCCAGGCTTTCCAGGTGTTTATATGTAATAAACATTTTTATACCTATCTGGCAGAACAAAAAACTGAGATAAAGAGAAATCAGACTTGGTTTATAGTCTTGGTGAGCAAAGAGTTAATCTCAACATAGAACTGATACTCTGTGGCCTCTGGTGGTGTTTTAGCCCAAGAAAGGAATATAAGCCCTGTAAGGAAACGTTTCTGATGGATTTCTCTGCTTTTAGAATACTTCTGCCTTTCTCTGGCCTTTTCTTTGGATTACAGGCTTCAGTTAATTTAAAGTAGAAAATTTCATGTACTGTTCTGCTAAAAAGAAATGTCCTACTGGATAGTAACCAGCAGCAGAGTTGCAGGCAGAGTAGCTTGGAAGCAACATAAAGCAAGAAACGGCATCTGAAAGAGTTAATGGAACTACCAGCTCAGTGTTGTGCCAGAGCGGTTTGTTTTGACGTGGTTCTGCAGCTGGGTTTAAAAATAATGCCCTCTGTTGGGAAAGTCAGGTAGAGGCATATGGTCAGTGCTTGAACCCAGCAGTGCAGGGGTGAGCACCCACTCAGCTTTGGAACGCTTGGCTTCTCCATGTGCAGGGGGAAGGCGAGACCAAAAAAAAAACAATTACCTTCTGCCCCTTCACCAAAACTGTTTTTCAAACAGGCTGTTTCCCATCTCGAGTGAACTCTTGTTCCCCTAATGCTGCTTTTACTTTTGAATTACTGCCCTGGTGGTCTACACTGAGACAACAAAGCTGAACTTTAGGTCTTTGCAGAAAAGACTTGTATGTTACAACTGTCCTCATTAGTGCAAATAATGGCAGATCTAGGCCTGGGAAAATAAAAGCCACGGGCCACCTGCTAGTTATCCTGTTCACTCATTCATGCATTTGGCTGGCTGCAGCATTTTATTTTACTTTGGGTCATGTTTGCTTTGCCATGTTTAAAACCTGGGGTAAAGAGACAGGGATTATGGCACTGACAGTCCAACTGTAACACCCATTGCTACTAATTGGCCAGCAGCAGGGGACCTTCAGAGCACTCTCTAACATCCTCAGTTCTCTATTTTGGTAAGAGAAGCAATTTGAAAGCCGTAAACACAAACACATTCCAGCTTATGTCTCACGGAACCTGTTGATACTCGCAGTTTTGAAACCAAAGCTCCCAAATGCAAAATCTCAGTAACGCTAAAATCAAAGACCTGCAAGACCAAACCTCAGCAGTGGCACAGATTTTGTGAAGTGATATTTATTTTTAATTACAGCTGCTCCTTGGTGTATTTCAGTTCGCAAATCTGATGAATGAATGTCTTTTAGGACATCACAAAATATTTTTAAGAATGTTTCCTTTTTTTCTCCAACTTCAAGGTCTAAAAAACTTTTAGAACATTTTTATAATGCTTGCTTCATGCTGCAGTAACGTGTGTCTTAAATCCAGTGACTATGTACAACAATGACAGTATGAACATACTGAGAGAGTTAGTTACTTCTATTCATGCAGAAAAGCTGTGTTCCCTAGAAATGCACTTGAATGTTAAGTTTTTCTCTGTGGTTGCTCTGAAATTTTGGCATGCAGGAGTCCAGCAGTAGTAAAGAGAATAAGGGTATTTGTTGAACAAAAACCTGTGTTACTGCCAGTACAGGGCAAAATAGAATGAAAAAGGGATGTTTTCTGCAGGAGTAGAAGTGAGGGTGCAGTAAGAGGGAAGACTGAAGGAGTACAAATTTCCAATTCAAAAGTGTTGTTAAATCAAATGTTTTGACGTAAAGGCTTTTTAAAAATATATTCTTAGTGATTTTGTAGCTTGAGCAGTTACTTCATACTATTTTCTGTTTCTGTTTTCAATGTTCGGTTCCCATCACTGTAAAAACGTTACTTTATTGTTGCTTGTTGAGTTGCCTTATGTGGAAAGATGACTACCTTAAAGTCTGCATTTTTAGAGCTCTGTAATTGGCTAAGTAATCACTTTAGATTGTAAATGAAAAAACTCATTTATCTGTTGTTTCTCTTAAAAGCAAAAGAAAAAGGTCTGATCAAACAATTTTCTCTCAAATGATAAAGAAGAAGCCTTACAAATAACAAAACTCCAAATGCACTGTTTGATGTCATTATTTTACTCAAGTTATGTCCAGTTTGCTTTGTAGGAGAGGTTTTCAGTTTTGAGAAGAGATCCGTAATGACTCAGCCTGATATTAGAGTTTGGCATTAGAAAAAACCCTGATAGATACCCTTCTGCACTATGGCTGTTAACTCTGCAGTGTAGCTATTATAAAAGAACTGTTTACAAGAGCCTTGCATAAATTTCCACTCTGTGAACATATACATACATTTTAAAGCAAAATATTTAAGGTAATTATTTGTTATTTCTTAAAAATGCTTGAAAATATAACTTTCTGTACAATTAATAAACCTCTATTTTATTTGACATATTATTGCAAGACAATCTAGAGACCAGGTAGTTAGGTAGTTCAAGATTTTTAAGTGATGTTGAATATTTTATAATCATGAAAGCATGAATTGCATACTTGACAATGGGCAATGCAAGTGGGAAATGGGAAAGGTGGGGTAACACAGATAGGGTGCATGCCACTCTTAGCCACTGGGGATCAGTAAAGTACTACTCATCCTCTCAGACCTCCATACTTAGAGATGCTTGACAATTGCTTGTCTTTGTCCTGTTCTAGATTGTTGGAACCCTGACCCACACTCACGACCTTCCTTTGCCAGTATCCTAGACCATCTTACTGCCATAGAAGAGTCTGGTTTCTTTGAAATGCCCAAAGATTCCTTCCACTCCCTGCAGGAAGACTGGAAACAAGAGATCCAAGAGATGTTTGATCAGCTCAGAGCCAAAGAAAAGGTAAGGAGAGAACAGTGCTCCCTGCTTGTGCTCTCTGGATTATAATTTCCCCATATTATAATTCAAACAGGGATCATTTTTTAGTGCATCCCAGATATAATTTTGACTATGCTTTACTGGAGCTTGTATTAAGTCCCTGAATCAGTGGCAGGTTATGATACATGGAGGGGTAGAATCCTGAGAGAAATAAATATCCTCATCCTGAGCTGCTACTCATTCTAATACTGTAGTGAGCTTCCTTTATACACTGTGCAATTGCTATGATGAGTTGTTTTTAAATTGTTTAATCATCTGATAACTGTTTCACTTAATTGAGAAACCCAATGGTAACAGGAGATGTTGGAGGGGTAGTTTCAGCATATATACTCAAGTACACGTTGCAGCTTTGATTCTGCCAAATTTGTGTTTTCCAGGGTTTGAGGACAACCAAAGTGCATAGACTATGATAAACATGAATGCTACCAAGGGAATGGTGTAGTAACTGTTCTAATTGAAGTCCATCTGCGCAAAAAGCAGGAAACAAAAATGCTGGCAGGAATAAAAGGAGTGATGACTGTCAGCCTCAAAGAAAAGTGGAAAAAGCTGAAGTTTTCTTTAGGCATGCTTTCAGAAAGCACAGCTTGCTGCATCTAAGTTAAGGTTCTTACAGAGACTGTCTTTCCGGTCAATGGTAAAAACTGCAGCAAAATTGCTGAGGTAATATTTTTTTAAGTTCACGATCTCTTGCCTAAAAATAAATTCATAATGAGCCTCCAACTTGATCAGGGCTCTGAGATTGGGTTTAGGAGGCAGAGAGAAGAAAGATGACTTTGGGTCAGAGGAGAGAAGTCCTACAACAATACTTAAAACATTTCTATTCACCTGTTATGGTAGCTTTTGGGGAAAATAGAATAACTAATAGACATTTCTCTGCTACTGTTGTCCCATGTTGTAACTGTGTTGGAACAGCTTTTGAAAACCAGAAACTTCAACAGACAAGCGGAAAACCAAACAGTAGTTACTAGACTGCCCTCAGGTGAGTCCTCATCACTCCTCTTTAGTGATGAGGAAATAATTTTATGTGCTGTTCACTTAATGACTAAACAGTACCAAATCTCCCTGATGGTGAGACAGGTAACAATGCTGTTCTTAAAAAAAATCTGAACTAAAATCTATCTGATTGTCTTTTTGAAGTTTAATTTAAATTCTTCAGTTTTTACCTTCTGCACTGGAATTAGCTAGCTGGAGAGAATTATTCTGAGTGCTGAATTCTTTTGTACTTGTGGGGAGAGGAGAGGAGTGCAGGGAGAAGTTTTTTGAGATTTCAAGGACAGTTTCAGTTGATTCATTTTGTCAGCAAGAGATAGACTGAAAAGTTTGCCTTATGCATCTTCGCCAGGACTATGTCCAGATTGTTTTTGAATATTCCTAGGTAGGGAGACTCTATAACCTCCTTGGGCAACCTCTGCCCAGTGTTCAGTAACACTCTCAGTAAAAAAGCATTCAGAGGCAGTCTACTGTGTTTCAGTGTATGCCTGTTGCCTCTTGTCCTGTCACTGGGCCCTGCTGAAGAGAGCCTGGCTTTATCTTTTTTCCACCCTTTCCTCAGGTTTTTACATACACTGATAAGATCCCCCTTTGCCCCACCCAAACCTTCTTTGTGCTAGGATGAATAGTCCCATCTCTTTCAGCCCTTTCTCATAGGAGAGGTCCTCCAGTCTCTTGATCACCTTCATGGCCGTTTGCTGGACTCTGTCTCTGGCACGTCCATGTCTGTCTTGTATTGGAGAGCCTAGAACTTGACACAGGATTTCAGGTGTGACCTCACAAGTGCTGATGTCTAAATTTTAATACTGGTATGAAGGTCCTAGAATGGCAAGCATAGAAGTCCTTGAGGATTGTTTTTGGCTTTCAGCTGAACCTTTAAACAGTGGTGCTAGCAGTGCTGTGAGCACAAGTCATTGCTGCCGTACCTTTAGAACAGGCAATGTTAGTCTTAACGCACAGGTCACAAGGTAGCTTTTTATTTCTGCTCTCTTATCTCCTTACAGGAGCTGCGCACATGGGAGGAAGAGCTGACTCGTGCTGCTGTTGAACAGAAGAATCATGAAGAGCTGCTGCGAAGGCGGGAGCAGGAGCTGGCAGAACGCGAGATTGACATCCTGGAAAGGGAGCTCAACATCATCATCCACCAGCTGTGTCAGGAGAAGCCCCGGGTGAAGAAACGCATGGGAAAGTTCAAGAGGAACCGGCTCAAGTTAAAAGATGGCAATCATATCAGCCTACCTTCAGGTTGGTGACGTGTTGTTCTGTACCAGGTGAAATGGGAGCAACCTGTAGGTTTGGTAGCTCCTTACTACTGATACTTGAGCATTAAAAAGTATTGGATGTACTTAAGGAAAAAAATATACCTCATGGGTTTAGTAAAATAAATTTGATGCTTTTGTGGCTAACATTGCTCAAAGATCCAAGATGAAGGCTAGAAGTAGATTTGAGATGTTACATGTTAATCAGTGGCTGTATATGGTCAATGGTTAAAATGCTGGTGTTGCAGTTTAGCATGTTAATATTCAAAATACCAGTTTTATAAAGGATGTGCATAAAGAAATGATGGAGGTTCTTGTTCTGGCAATACTTTACATAATGCTGCGGCAGAAACTGTAATGTACTGGATTTTTTGGTGTAAGATCCTAAAAATTACCAAAATACATTCATAGCTATGAGACTATAGCTCTGGATTGCTAGTTCATATATAAACTTTTATTAACACACAAGTGACCTCTAATACCACCCTTCTGGAAGAAATGCTAAATATTAGTGAAGTGTTAGGGAAGTCACTCTTAAGAGCGAAGATGGTGATTTTCAGAAATACTGAATCCTTAGCATTTCTACTGCAGATTCTGTATGGAGATTCAAATTTGTAAAAGAACAAAAGTGTGGGTTTTGTAAATCACCTAAGACTCATCATTACATCAAGGATGATGGCTTGCACTATATTATTTGTTTTCTAGGAGATATTGACTGTTCAGAAGAGCAATTATGCTAAAATGTGTATGTTAACTATGCCTTTCTTTAGGTCTGTAAATGCCTATTTTTGGTGGTGCTTAAGAAACAGAGATAAGGTGAAAGGAATTGTACAGGAATATACTTTGGCATAAATGTCAGTCAGCACAAGGGGTTTGTGTGTGTATGTGTCTTACACATACACTAAGAAGATATATCTCCAAGAGTGTGAGCACACATTTTTGTTATGAAGTAACAGTGTGTACAAAAGGCAAATAGCAATTAGCTGTAAAACTTCATTTCTACCTTGATCCTGTCTGTAAGTTGTGCTCTTTGAAAGTTATCATAAAGTATTTCTTTTTCCATATGTTAAAAAAAACTTCAACTGTTTTTCTGCTTTTGTTTTGATTTTTTTTCTTTTGCTGAACAGATTTTCAGCATAAATTCACTGTGCAGGCTTCTCCAACGATGGATAAAAGGAAAAGCTTGATCAGTAGCTGCTCCAGCCCTCCTGCAAGTCCTACCATTATTCCCAGACTCAGGGCCATACAGTGTAAGGAGCTCAATGTAGTATTGAATTTGGGAAATGTGCAGTCTGTCAGCGTGGTAAGATGCCCAGATTCCATATCTAGGACAGGACTGTAAAAGAAAGTACTAAAATGTTTGCCTTGTGCCTTGTATGTATGCATTTAGAGAGCAAAATGAAGTGTGTTGGTGATGGGGGGGGAATATTACCTGCTTTGGAGTAGAAACCATACTTACCCAAGTCCTTGAAATACTGCTGTTTGTATAGAAAATACATTCCTGAGGTGTAGAGGTTAATTTTTAAAAATGCTAATTTGCAGAGTAGATCTGTGAAACATTATTGAAGTGGATTAAGTTACTGTTGTAAGGAAATAAAAACAAGGGTGCTTGTCATGCAAATAGTGTTCCCATAATAAAACAGAATTAGGCAGACATGCATGAATTATGGAAGTCATGTTAGCTAATGTATAGTGTTTGTTTTGAATATCATGACACTTGTGTGTCTGGTATCAAACTGGTGGTTCTAAAGAGAAACCAGTGATGGAATAAAGCTGTAAAGCCTACCTATACTTTGAGGGATTAGGGAATACCTAATTTTGAAGGGATTTGGTTGGTAGATCTGTGTTGATAAATGATCAGAAATACAGGAAAATAATTTTTGCTACTATTCCTGTTTTGACCTATGTTTTATTCTTCGTGTTGCCATGGAACCAATTCTTTAATTTGTGTATCTGTTTTTCTTTCCCATTTTCCACTGTTCTTCCCACTTCTGAAGTGACTCCTGCTGAAAGCAGTAAAACGTGGGGGCGAAGCTCAGTCCTTCCAAAGGAGGAAGGAGAGGAAGAAGAGAAGAGAGGCCAGAAGAAAAAGGGACGCACCTGGGGACCAAGCTCACTTTGTCACAAGGAGCTAGGTGCAGGAGAAGATGGGTAAGAGAGGGCCTGGAGGCAGGCTCATTTCCAGCCTGTCTGGAGGCAGGCTCATTTCTCATAAAACAGGTTATGAGATGGCCCTTGGGAGATTTGCCTATCCTCTTGCAAACACTTTCCTGCTCCCAAATTTATTTCCTGTACCAGAGATGTTAGAGATTCAGATTACAGAACTGCATTCAATCTCTTGCTGGTGACTGATGCTTTCACTGTTTGCAATTATGTTGTTAGGTGTATTTCTAAGCAGTAGGACTTCCTAGGTGAGCAAAACTCATTCTCTAGTAGGTTTTCTCTATTTTTCAGGCTCAACTTTTTGTAGTTTTGTATCGTACCTGAAAATACTTCTCTCTTACAATTCTCAGATATGCTTTTTCTTGTCTTAATTTTTAAATAATAGCATTTATCTGGTAGAGCCAGACAAATATCTTCAGTCATTTGAAAAGGACATGTGCCTTGAGTGAATACACCCTGAAAGTGATCTTTGCAGAGATACAGATTGTACTTCTATTTCTATAGGTTATTGTTCTGTGGCTGCTTCTTTTTTTCTGTGTGTGTGTGAATTATTTATACCAGGACTCCAATGGATCATTGCTGAAATGCTGCTTTAAACATAGGAGTATTTTGGTCTTCTAAGAGGTTTGAATGCTTTGTGATTTTTTTCATGGAGTTTGAAGCTTTTTCCCTCTGCTGAATTGATAGTTTGACTCTTGCCATATTTTTAGCAGGGAAAATAAAATAACTGGTTATAATTTTTAACTGTTGTGTGTTCAGGTGTGAAATGCCTGAAAAACACGTTTGCATAATGCATTGCTATTACAATCCTCTGCAAGAGAGCCTGGATCTATTAGAATATGTTCTCTCTCAAATACACTTATGACATGTTGACAGGAAGATTCTTTGACTGATGTCTGTGTTTTACCTGTTCTGTAGATGAAGTATAGCATTCTACAGAATTAAAACAAATGTCACACTTTACAATCATTAACTATATAAAAGGGTAGGAGATCACTGAAGCTGGAAGAAAAATACTTTCATCTTGAAATCATGTTCTTAGAATTCTGGGAATAAAGCTCTTCAGTTTTCTGTTCATTACTGCACAGTCTGAAGCACTGATGGCTTTTGGGCACAGACAACTGGAACGGACTTGATTGCTAACTGTACTTGCTCATAAGACTATCCTGTTCTCTCTGCAACTGAGATGTTCTGTAGTATTCAGAATCTTTCCTAGGGAGACTCAATACAGCTATTGCATTTTGCAGACTGTTTGAAACAGGATAGTGTTGCTGAGAGTGCAGTATGATTAACCTACAGTGAACTACTCCTTCTTTCTGAGATCATGCTGGACTGCAAATTTTAATTTAAAGGGAACAAAATTGCAGTAAACATGGAAATGTTTTTGGAGTTTTTTTCTCTCTCCTTCTGCTGAGCACTTTATTTTTTACCTGCAAAATTGATTGCAAAAGAAATCAAGATGCCTTGATTTCAAGAGAAAATGTTTAATCTGATTTTTGTAGTGGTACCTTTTACTATTCTGCATTCATAGCTGTTAGTTATCAGTGGAGGTCTTTTGACTTTTGTGGTGTAATAAACGATGGGGGGACCTTACGACTTTTTTTTGTGTTTTAAGGTGCTGTAAAAATGTCACAATTTCTTGTTGCGGGGGGGCTTCAAATCTGTGTAGTTAAGATGGATACATGCATACTATAATAGAATGACAGAGAATATAGAAGGGGAAAATGGAAACTGCTTTGTGAGCATGGTACATTTTCTCACATCCTTTTGCTATTTCAGTCTGAAAGCTCTGGTAGAAGGATACAAACAGTGGTCATCCAGTGCACCGAACCTTGGGAAGATCCAGAGAACTGCACCAGCTTTTCCAGGATTCACCAGCTTAGCAGAGATGGGTAAAGGAATTCTTTGAACTTGATACTCTCATCCCCACTTCCATTCACATTTGAATAAACCTCTTCTTTTCTGACCTTCACCTGATACCTTGCAGCTATGTCTTCATTTTGTTTGGTACCTATTTTTCTTTTATTCTCTGTGAAATGTCCACTTCCTCCTTCTAGATTTTCTTTTTATTCACCTCTCTGCTTGTTCTTGTTATCTGTCAAGTTAATAAGCTTCTGTTAATTCTCCTCTAGCTCCATGCTATCTCTCAGCTCCTTTCCTTTATACTGATATTTAGATGTGCAGCATAGTTACACCTTCACTTGCAAGGAACGATCCTTATAATTTTCCTACCTTTTACTCCTCACTCACAAACATATAAATTTAGTCTAGAAGTAACTGAGGTGCAGGGTGCTTCTGAAATGCTGTTCTGCAATTAATCCCAAATAGATTAATGCGTCACTAATTTCTTCCACTTTGATAGTGCTTCCGGGTATTTGTCTCAGCCTATTTGCTTTGGAGACAATAACCTGTGAGTATTTGGCAGTCGATGAATGATGCTTGTGATGAGAACAGTTGCATTTTTTGAGGAGAAGCTTGTTTTCATGAATATTTGTAAGACAGTGAAATTTGCTAGTGAAAATGTTACATCAACAGTCTGTTTTCATTTGCTTTCCAGATGATGAAGACAGCGAATGTCTTAATGGAGAGGACAAAGTGCACCCTTCACCTGTGCACAATCAGTCATACCTCTGCATCCCATTTCAGAAGAATGAAGACTGGGATGGCCCTTCTAGTGATGCCAATGAGGAGTCCACCCCTGTAAACTCTGCTACTAGTACCCCACAGCTGACACCCACCAACAGCCTCAAACGTAGTGGCTCCCACCACAAACGATGTGAGGTTGCACTGCTGGGCTGTGGAGCAGTGCTGGCTGCTGCTGGCCTGGGTTTTGATCTGTTAGAAGCAGGGAAGTGTCAGCTGCTGATTGAGGAGGAGCCGGAGGTGCCCAAGGAAGAGAAGAAGAAGCGTGACAGCATTTTTCAGCGAGCTGGACGCCCACGCAGGAGCACTAGTCCACCTTCCCGGAAGATCTTCAAGAAGGAGGATCCCATGTTGTTGCTAGGCGAGCCATCCACATCCCTTACCCTTCTTTCCCTGTCCTCCATTTCCGAATGTAATTCCACCCGGTCCCTGCTGCGCTCAGACAGTGATGAGATTGTGGTATATGAAATGCCTGTCAGCCCAGTGACAGTCAAGGCTCCTTTGCCAGCCATTACCAACCCACTAGTCAATGTCCAGATCGAGAGGTTCAAACAAGACCCCAACCAGTCCCTGACTCCCACACATGTGACGGTCTCTTCCCACACCCAGCAAAGCGGGCACAGGCGCACACCTTCTGATGGGGCCATCAAAGGGAGTGGACTAATTGTCAACGGGTGCCCAACCAGTGGATGCCCTTCCAGTAGCTGTTTAACTGGAGCACTGGGAGCAGGTAGGTTTTCAGCCATCTTCCTTTTCCTCTTTAGAATAAAGACACAAACAGTATAATTACTTGTTGCTTATACAGCATCACTGTGATGACCAGCCCACAAGAATTGCTTATGGATGCTATCTTTACACAAATAGTTAACAGAATAATGCAGTAATGGTTTCTGTTCCAGCATCTCTGAGCTAAGGAACTCCTTGCTCCCCTGTGCTGTAAGGCAGAGCATAGTATTGTTTCTTAGACAAAAATAGTGCCAAAGTACAAATACTGCACGTTTTTAACAGTTCCTTGGGGTTCTTCATTGCCTTTATACACTTGTTTGTAGTTCAAAGTAAATTCTGATCTTTAAGGCGGTGAAAACAGGATCTCTAAAACAGTTGGTTGTTGTGCCACTGTTGCTCTTATTCCTTTGCAAATAAGAGGAGTCTTTCTGGATAGGTAGTGTTCTCACTGTTGCAGTCTTTAAAAGTAGCTGTGACTTCATAACTTAGAAAATATTTTCCTGTGTTCTTGCCCTAGTAATTCAGAGGAAAAAAAAAAGGACTAGAATAATAAATTAAAATTTTATTTAATTAGATCTTTTCCCAATGGTAAAACAAAATGTGAGGTTGTATTTTGAATGGAAGTCTACAGTAAAATGTGGGTTAATGCAGTTGAGAATTCTCATTAAAATGGTAAAAGTTATGTTATGTTTATAAAAAAAATCAAGCAAGCACCATCCTCCCCCCCTAAACAAAAACAAACCAGGAAACATCTGCAGTAGGTAGTGTTAAGTGGCTCTTCCAGGCAGTTGGTCCTGCCTGTGATAAATAGATGTTGTGTATCATGCTGTGCATCTCCCTGATCCATTGAAGCTGTTAGTGGGTAATGTGCCTTCTGAAGGATTTGGAGAGTTCTCCCCTCTGGTAGGAGGTCAAATCCATGCTCTCCAGTCAGAAAACTGAAGAAAGCAAATGAGAGGATGAACAAAATTTTGTGCTAGATCAGTGAAACAAGTGTCTTGCAATGTGTTGAGAACAGTGTAGGAATAAAGAAGCGAGTTACTTCAGATTGCCATCATCTTGAAGATACGGAGTTTGTAGATTCTGAATGGAGGCTTTCTGCTTTGAAAATGTTTTTCACTGTACATACAGTAAACCAAGATCTGTTGTAACAGTGACATCTAACATGTTTCCCTCTTCTCTTACATTGTCTGGTTTGGATAGGTGTATTAAAAACACCTAGTCCAAGTAGAGATCCCACTGAGGTCCCTCGCCTGCCAGACCCCAACCTTGTTTTTCCTCCAACCCCGAGACGATGGAATGCACAGCAGGATCCCACACTGGAAAGACCCAAGACATTGGAGTTCCTGCCCCGGCCACGTCCTGCAGCCAGTCGGCAGCGGCTTGATCCCTGGTGGTTTGTGTCACCCAGCAATGCCAAGGGTGAATCTTCTGCCAACAGTTCAAGTACTGATACTCCAAGCAATCTGGACTCTTGTTTTGCTAGTAGCAGTAGCACTGTAGAAGAGAGACCTGGGCTGCCTGCACTGCTTCCTTTCCAGGTGGGTCCTCCTGTAGAGGAGCGGACACTGTTGGACATGGATGCTGAGGGGCAGAGCCAGGACAGCACCATTCCCCTATGCAGAAGTGAACTTAACACACACAAAGCTGCAGCATATGAACTCAAGCAAGAATTCTGGTCTTAATATGAAACCATTGGGGACAGTGAGCCCCTCTAAATTCAGTCCTACTTTTTGCACTGAGAATGCACTTTGAAGACAGATGAGATGGAGGGATGCTACAGAGATCATATGGTGCTGCCTCTGCTGAAGATGCATTGTTGACTGCCTAATTTTTGTCTGCAGTTGGGTGAAACTTGGCAACTCTGAGCTGCTGATTTTTGCTGTGGGGTTTTTCTGTAGTCTTCCCTGCCCTCTTATTGCAGTTTGAATCTGCAATGAGCTGAAATTATCATATCAAAGCCTTTTGTTACTGACCTTGTAGGATTTGGCACTTGCAGTAAGTATATTGGTATCTATGCTGGTATTAATCAGTATTTTCAAAACTCAAATATTACACAATAGCAGACATCAGTGTTTGATGTTTTCCCAAGGAATCCGGGACAGAAACAATTAATTATCTAGAGACTACCTTCTCTGAAATATATTCAGATCATTAGACAGGCCTGGGAATCATTGTACCCCCACTGAAAGAGGAGAAGTAGCTGTCTTAAGGCTTGTTTGTCCTCTTTTGCTTGGCTGGTAGTGTGTGGTGGAACAGATTGCAGGGGAAGGGCATGGCATCTCCACTGATGGAGGTCTTTGAGAACAGGCGAACCAGATGAAACAAGTAGGTGTAGTTGATCCTGGCTTCAAGGTAGGTTGGATGAACTTCAGTGGTATCTTGAGGTCCCTCTCAGCCCTGTTTTTCTATGACCCGATGCTTTCAAGAAGATGAAAGCTTATGGTATGGCTGTTTATCTTGCTTTTTTATTTCAAACTTTGGTTCCATCTGTCCCTTTTTTCCTACCACCTGTTTCTCAGGCTATAGTGAAGTTGCCTCAGCTTTGGGAAGGGAGTTAGCCGGAACTCCTTCTTTAAAGCTGTGTTGACTTGCAGAAGTAAATTACATGTTCCCAAATTTATCTTCCTGGTTTTTGTCCTTTCTTACACTTTTTAGGAGTGACCCATGAAACCCAAGACTGTTCTTATGCACACTGGTACTTGTTTAAGGCTTTTTTAAAATGAGGCTTGTTAGTAGTTGGATTGTGCAAACAGGAATTAGAACATCTGGATTCTGTTTTGTTTTGTCACTGATTCACTGTGTGACCCTGGGCAAATAATGTAACCTCTGTGCCTGAATTTCCCCATCTGTAAATAATAGGAATAATACCTACCTCACAAAGGGAGGGGTTGGGACATATGTAATAGTCCTTTGAGATCTTCGAGTGAAAGGCCCTATAGACATGTAAAACTTTATTCTTGTTCAAATAAGTAAAAAACTAAATCAGGAGCAAGAACAGATCCCTGTCTTGAAGGAGGAAGTTACACAAATAGGGTGTGCCTATGCTCACAATTTTCTGTACAAAGACTTCCAAATGTGTCTGTGCCACTACAGGTATAACTTAGTGGCTGTAATGAGAGCTTCACGCTTCCCCAGGTTCAGCATTGTAAATAAGAGATGTAGCCTTTATATCACTGTACTAGGGTAGTCTGCTTTGTTGGAGGTTAAGCATATCTGTTCACTCTTTTTGTACAGATCTGCGCTCATTTTGATAATCTACTGACCATTTGGTTGCAAATAATTTATTTGACAGTGATGCCAATGCAGTGCTCAGCCTGTTGGGGCAGTCCAGTCCTGGTGTGAAAGCAGTGTAGCCAAATACTTCCTGCAGCTGTCAGCACAGAGAACCTGTGTGTTTAGGTGTTTGTAATCGGATTTTAAAAACCAGCATGTGAGGAAGAAGTGTACATAAGGGTTTTTAGTTCTGTTTGAGGACTGAAACTAGCATGTTGCCATTAATCAAGTGCACCTTTTTTTTTAAGCAATTACAGTATGTTTTTGTGTAGAAAGGTCACATATTTCTTATTTATCACATTCCATGAAAAATGTTTAATGGCAGAATTACTTTCTGCCGCCCTCCCCATTAAATGCTCCAGAACTAGCTTTAATTGTGCTATATGAGGTGCTGAAGGTGGATAGACTGTGTAGACAAGGTGTTATGATGTGGAACTAAGATACTTAAAAAAGAAAACTTACATTTCTGACTGTTTTGTTAAATGTAGAACTTTAGCATTATTGATTTCTTAAGCATTCATAGTTTTACTTTCCATTTCTGAAAAATCAGTCTGTGATCCAGAGACTAACAAAAAGGCAAAACCATCCAACAGATGATTAATTTTGATTGTGCTATAAACGAAGCTCAAGGAAATGTCAGTGAGAGGCTGTGTCAGAGGGACTAAAACGAAAGGGATTAAAACAGTCCCTTATTCAAAGTCTGCCTTACCATCTTAAAAAGTCCGAAACAAAACAAGATCAGCTGTTCTGAAATGTAATGTTTTCTGTCCAAAAAGTATCATTATAAATGTCATAGGGAGTATCATGTGCTCTGCAAAGGCATCCCCTGGAATAGCCCCATTTGAACAGAAATCTTTAAAATCCATTTACTTGCACGAAATAGGAGGCCACCTTTTTAGGTCATGTTGTTTTAACTCAGCCTGCTAAACTTTCTGATAGTTGGCCAGTAAGTTCACCAAGTAAACTCTAAGGTTTCAGTCAAGTTCCCATCAGTCAAGACAGCTGGAAAGGCATGTTGTTCTGTCACCTCTTTTGCTTAAGAAAGTTGAGGATGACTTATCAAACCCTCCTTGCCACTCTCTCCCTTTTAGATAATCACTTGGTGAAAGTGGTGTGTAGCTGAACAATGAGAAGTATTTTGCTCCAAAGAGCATCTTCACTAATACCAAATGGACCCTTCTTTGATGCAATTATCTTCATTGAATCTCGTATGTGAATTAGCCGCAGGTAGTCTTTGAGTATCAACCCATAAGCTGTCCTCTGGTGACTAACCTGAGGTATCAGGCAAGAGAAGACTGTTGTGGAACCGAGACTATTGACTTTAGTAGGTGGTGGGGTATTCTCTGACAGGCAGAGGGAGCTCTCAAGGCAAAGAGCTGTTTCGCCTTATGAATCCCAAAACCTCTCTCCCTATATCCATCTGTCCCATCCTGGCTTGAATTCTCTTCTTCTTAATCTGTTGGTGTTTTTCCTTCCCACTTGTGTGAGGTGAGGTGTTCCACATCTCCAAAGGAATGCTCTACTGTAGTCCACTAGATAGTGAGAAGATGTGAGCCTGTCAGCTCACAAATCTTTTTTTCCTACTGGCTACTATTATTCCCATTTTTCAGGGAGATAAAAGTTTCAGAATATTGTTCATTGACATACTTTTCTAAGAGTATTCCTGAGGAAAATAGTGAAAATATTACTTAAAAAAATTCTAATAAGTGTATTGTTTCCTAAGTAGCCGAATAAGTTGCACTTTTTTTTCTGAGAAAATGAGAAAAAGATAACATGAGAGCACAAAATCACTGAGCAGTCTAAAACGTAATGAAAAAAGAATGGAGTAAAGTGTGTCTAATTACAGGCCTTACAAGGAGGAAGGCGCAGTTTTTTAACTGATAGTAGTAGTGAGATTGTACCTGAGAGAAATGTTTGTGGTCTAGAAATATATTTGTGCTTTTGTTTAGTCAGCTGGCAGTATGTATCGCTAATTTATGTAATTGATATGCTGATTTAGGAAATATAAAAAAGTTTGTTGGCCCTTCAAAATATGCTATCCTTGTAGCCTGTTTGGTTTTCCTGTAAAACTGAGGGGAAAGCACAGACATAGCAACCAGTGCAAAAAAAATGATGAATTTTTTTATAAATTTCTACTGGTTTTACAGAAATTGAGTGTTTGACAAGTAGAGAGAAGAAAGCTTTTGTGTCAAAACCAAGGTGATTAAATAGTTATGGATTTTTTTCTAATACTGTTGCTTCTTATGGACTGCACAATGCTGTGTTTTACCAGCAAGCAGGTCTTGATCTCCTTTCAGTCCTTTTCAGAGGTGCAGATGTAACCTTTTATAGGTATTTTCTTTCCAGATTAGTATTGCAGTGGGTCAATATTCATTATGAGGCAGGGAACCTCAGAGAAAATACTCTTTTTGTAATTGTTTTCTAACAAAATTAGTATTTTAAAGTGAATATTTCATTGTTGATGTGGAAAGACCTGTTCTGGCTTGGCATGTTTTTATGATGAAGTATTTTTCTGTACCTCTAGGAATGGGAGTAGTTGCCTTCCTCTTCATAGCATGCTGTTATCTTAAGACTTTGTGGACAATACTGCGTAGAGATGTTGCTTCGATATGTCACGAAACTGGATACCTCTCATTCTGTCGAAGGTGAGGCAGTAATGATCGAGTAAAGAAAGGTCTTTGCCAGCTAGAGTGTTCTGTTAAATAGAACATGACAGGAAACCTCTACCTTTCTACCTTGAGCTTAACTTTTATTTGAAATTTAATTAATCTCTGTGGGATGAACATGGGAGCTGGAGTCCCTTTAGATGTATGGAACCAAACCTAATACTGTATCCCAAAATTTAGTGACAACCTGTTACTTTTGTAAGTAATTTTAAGCTAATATTAATGGGTTTGTTTCTTGTGGATTTTTTTGAAATCTTTCTTCTCGGAAAAAGTGCTTATTGCTTTCTAACCTTTTCCATCATTTTAGAAATGTTCTCAAGAACTCTTACCAATTCTGTGGCGAATAAGGAGGTTTATATCTTTCACAGTGATCTAGGCCCTCCTTTTGGCTTTGCTTTTTTTGGTATGAAACAAGGACATCTATATTTGGAAACTAAGATTTCTGATCCTTATCCTGTCACTGCAGATCAGTTTCTTAGTTTCCATGCTTTTAACTCACTTAAGACTAAAATTTGGGTAAAACTGGACAGTTTACCCAAGAGTGAGGGGATAGATGTGTTTTAAAACATATTTGCAAACAAGCAATAAGAATACCAAATATGATAACCAAAATATGCTGTCACAGAGCATAACTTTCAGACTTCATAAACCTTTGGATGATTTTATAATTAAGGTATCTTTAGGAAAGAATGCCTTCCTATGTTTTTCTGTTACATTTAGTATTTTAAGATTAGAATATGATTAAAATTAGAATATGGTGGTTTTCACAGTATGGTAGCTAGCTGGACAGAAAGGATCTTTAGCCAGATTTGTACCTCTGATTTTTTTCCTCTATTTTCAATCAAGTTTGTGGTTTAAATTTTTTCTTTTTTTTTTTTTTTTTATGTTTAACAAACAATGCAGTCTTCTTAAGAACTTAAGTTTTATTGTTTCCTTAGCCTTACTTTCGCAGTTTCATGAGGCAATATGGAAATGAACTCATGGCTTCTTCTGCTGCTCCCTCTATTGAACACACTAGTAGAAAGTCACATGCTGCAGTTAAGATGTGCATTTGCTTTTGGTTTTTCCCATGCTGAGTTTTTTTAAGCAGCTTTGCTGCTGGTCAGAAATGAACACAACTTCTGAAATTACCTATATCAACTTTATTTTTGTATGTCCAAAGTAGTCACTCCCAGGCTAACGAGGTATGTGTACTTGATTAAAAAGTAGTTTGCCACTGGTAACTGGATGATGGATCTGATGTAGCTACCACAATTATTATTATTCCTCTCTAACAAGGATCTCTTTTTTGCAACTAGAAAGTCTTCAGCACTTCATCAGTGTGTGTACACAAGAAATACATTTTGTCTCCATCTGTATGTGAGTGAAAAACCTCTTACTTTTCCTGACCAGGAACACAATTTTCCCACTAAGAATGGCTTCTTGGACTCTGTGTTTTTGTTTATTTTCTGTTTTCTTGGGGATGTTGATTATTTTTGGTTTGTATTTTAAGCCTATGAAATATATACATGTCTTAGGTGCGCCCTGTATTCGTAGGTGCCTTCCATCTCACATGTTCCTTGCTAGGAGCTGAGGTTTTTTGGAGGGAACTCCTGGTTGTAGCTTTCAGTACTGTGTTGTTCATCATACACCAGGCCAAATACCAGCAGTGTTCATATCCTCCCAATTAGAGATGTGCCCATACACGTGTGTCAAGGCATGCGCTATCACTGGCTCTCAGTATCTCTCTGTTAGAATTTTGCCCCCACCCAATCTTTATTGGTTATTTATTCTTGTTACCAAAGTAACAAGCCTGAGACAGAAGACAATACATGTTTTAGGTGTGCTTTGACCTAAAAGGTTTCTGAGCTAGAAGCATAAGATACAACTGGGTGAAGTGAAAGTGGAGGTTGGCAGGAAATAGCAAATAAGAGTGAAATTATCCTTCTTAATGTAAGTCAGAGAACAGAAAGATACTAACTGCTTGGTAATCTGTTGGCATCATAGGTCCCAAAGAAGAATTTGAGGAATATGTAGTTACTTAATTTCATAGAATGGTTTGGGTTGGAAGGGACCTTAGAGATCATCTAGTTCCAGTCCCTCTGCTATGGTCAGGAACACCTTCAACTAGACTAGTTGCTCAAAGCCCCATCCAACTCATCCAGTTTCTGGTTGGTTTGTTGTATTTTACCCCGAACTACCTCATTTGTAGAGATAGAATGGGAAGAAAGTTCAAGTTTTGGTAAGAATTGCTCTAAGTAAGCAATTGAGGCTGGAATGAGATAGGAGGGCAGAGGCAAACACTGTGTTTGGCTTTTTGACATGCAAATTCCTGATGGAAAAATAAAACCAACCATTTGGTTTATTAAGTTAAGATTATACTTTCTTTAAATATTCGTGTCTCCAAAATAGACAATAAAGGACAAGGCAGGGCATTTTTCTTGATAATTTCTGATCTGTGGAAGAGTTGATTGTCCACAGACCAAAAGGTGGTGATTTCATATTGGTCACTACTGTTTTTAAAAGCAATGGTCTGTTTTTTCAAAACAGATTTTTTTTTTATGATCTCATGTGCTCTTAAAGTGGACCTACATATGATCCCGATTGTTTTCCTGTATTTGCAGTACTGTTTTCCTGATGTATCAGCTCCTAATACAGTCCTAACTGTATCTGAATGCTAATAATGCGCAGACAGACCAATATAGCTAATATTAAGAAACTATGACACATTTTTAGTGTGCAGTATAGTGGATTTATAAGCTCAGCTTGAAGTGGACTACTGTTAGGTCTGTAGCTGGTGGGTCAGATGGATGCACAGCTAGCAAAAGAGGGCTTAGAACAAATCTGCAGAGGAAATGCCAAAGTTTTATTTGCTTAAAATAAGCAATTTGAAAAGTAATCATGGTGGGGGAAAAGGCCCTTCATTATTCAGAAATACTTTTCTAGGCTCTTGTCCATGCTCAAATTTTAGCTGCCAGGATAGCTATTGAGAAACTACATTGTGTTCAAAAGTTTTTGGCTGGAACATAAGACCAGAATAATGCATTTTAAATATGCTATTTCAGAGTGATTGATACTGTCTCCCTGTTCTACCTTCAATTCAGCATTTTCTCAAGAACAGATGTTGAGGTTGGATAAAACTAACCTCCTTGTCTTGGAGAGACATATGTGTCTGAAAAAAAAGAAACATTGTTCTAGGCGTGTGCTGATGCTTTTATGTCTCAAGGTCTTGGCAGGAGAGGTTATAATGGAGCAGGAAGACATGCTGGTGTTTTTCCAAGCTTCGTTGATAAGAATGCTGCTAACAGCAGTTATGTTTCAGAACAAACGTAGCCTCCGATTGGTGTTTGGCATAGGTCAGTTGCACACTGAGCTTCTTGAGTCTATTCCTTGGGTTCTTCTGGAATTTGTGACTGTGGCCACTTCTCAACTTGAGTAGTGTCTTTACTCCCAGGCCTGGTCAGTGTCACAAAATGAGTTGTCACTGTCGACTGCCCAGATATTCACATTAGGCTTGTTCTTCTGTCTTGCATGCTTTAGTGAGCAGCTCTTAAAATGTCAACAGGGTTAGCATTTCTATCTGAACAGAGCAGCTAATATCTCTTTTCACACTACATCTCAAGCAGTTGTTACTCCATCAGTTGCTCTGTTTTCAAGGTTATCTTGACAACCATAACATCTAGATACCCTAGTCTGTAAAGAATAAAGCCACAGCAAAAAAAAAAAAGTAATTAAAAAAGAAAGCATACTAGTGAGTGTTTGCCAGTTGAACTAGTTGAGTTTGGCCAGTGCTCTTTGCAGAGTAGAATCCATTCTTGTGCAACATAGGTCTCTTTGGGGGATGTCTAGGTTCAAACTGGAGAATATACCTAGATCCACTAGAAGTCACCAGTGCCCATCGTGTTTGGCAGTTATAAGAAACCAAATAAAATCAAGGGCATCTAGTAGTAAAAGTTCATATTTAGGGTAGTTACTTTTCAAGTTAAAAGGGAAGAGGCCTCAATTCAGAAAGCTCTTCATCACATACTTAAACATCACTGAAGTCAGTGGAATGTGTCTGTAGGTCAAAATGCACAAGACCTCAGTTCAGCAAAGCTCTTTAAATTGGGGGATTGTCCTGGTGAAGAACCAGGCTCTTTACTTTGGTTGTCAGAGTAAAGAGTCAGTTAACCTGAGGAAAGAGTTCCTCAACAAGCCTCTGGGTAAATGCTGGTTTGACTGCTGATTCTTGTGGCCTTTCCATGACTGCACATGCCATGCCTGTTTGACTGCTAATTCTTACCATAAGCAGGGTAAGCTTTGAGAATGTTTTCTGACACAGGATGAAAGAGCAACAACTTCTGCATTAGCAGATTGCTATCTGTAAAGGGGCAGGAAGTGGTGACTGGAGGTTGTGTGTGCAAATGACAGTTTAACCCGGGGCCTTTCCTCAGGTGTTTCTTCTCATTTTCAAAATGCATCCCTCCAGGCTGGTGAACAGACCTGACAAGTTCAGCAGTGATCAACATCCACCACTTCACTAGAGTTCTAGGGTTCTTGTCTATCAGCTGTTGGCACAGCACTTCGTGCTGCTGTATGTGAATTCCTTCTCGTAAATTCACAAGCTGGAAATGTCTGAGATATTTTGCCTGACTCAAGTTGAGAGGCTTAAATGGAGTGGCAGACAACAGTGGTGGAAAAATCAGGGAAAATACCTGTGCTTTTAACAATATCTCTTCTGTGGCTTTGAAAGTTGAAGAATTTCTCAGCCAGAGAATGTATTTCCTCCCTCTTTTTATAAGCTACTTCTTTCTTTTGCCTTATTATTTGTGGATCTGCTCCTGCTTCTATTTAAAGCCAGATGCAAAAATTGGTGACCTGACTTTCCTAGGTACAATGTTGTAAATCTGAAGAACCAGGTGAGTAGATTACTCTAGTATAAGATCATGCCCCATGTCTGATCCTTTAAGATACGGGATAGTTCCTGCTTGTGTTGAAATCACTGTGTAGAGGATGTTGGGTACTTCATAAGGAACTCCAAACTCTGTAGGACTGAGATTCATCTTGCAACTCCAGTATTTCAGTCTGGTTTTGGAGACCTCTCTATGTCTTCTCTTCTGTTCATGGTGTTCAAAAGTTTGTTGCTGTGGAAGTAGCACCTGAAGGTATGTTTTGCCCGAAGAAACTGCAATGAAGCAGTTGCATTAGCAAATGGCAATGTACCCCAGAGTTGAGTAAAATAACAGAGGCCACCAAGTTTTTCTTGTTTGTGTGATGAAATGTTGTCAAATTAAGTGATTCGTTGGAGCCTTCCTTTAACTTCTGTACAGCAGTAAGCTTAGAGGAAAAGAGGATTGCATTATTTTTTAAAAAGCTTTATTTGTGACCTGGACTTGTTGCCTCTGACCCTCTTGGGCTTAAATAGTTAAATTATATTAATGTCCAGTTTGTTTCACTGTAGGTAACACATCAACTGAATACTCTTGTGCATAATCTACTGTATCTTTCCTCTGTTCTGTGTCAATGTATTATGTGTATTTGGATTACAGTTCTTTTTGTATTAAATTATTTTATGTTATAGAACAATATTTAAGCGAAGCAAAGAGCTATTGAAAGTTGTTGGCGTTTTGGGATTTCTTTTCTCTTTGCTCTTTTTTTGGATGTACTGTAAATTGTAAACCAAGGATGCCAAGCAGGCTTGGTTCAATGGCTAAAATTATTGTATTACAGTGTAATGCTGATCTAGGCCTTGTCTCAACACTAGAGCACACAGACTTGAATAAAACTGCTATAAAAGTGATTGTCTTTAGGCCTTGATTTCTTGGGTTTGTACTTCAAATAATTTCAAGCAGATATTTAGAATAGCAGTGGCATTACCTTGCTCTGAGGATTTGAGAATTTTTCCCAGTGCAACAAGAGGTTTATTTTTCTTTGCTAGGTATCTCAATCCTGATCAGCTGTTCCAGCTCTGGGTCCTTCATAGGGCTTTTAAAATGTTTCTATGAAACCGCAGACAGTTTAGTCCAAGTCTTGGCAAGTTACCTGTCTGCTAACCCCCTTCTGGCTTTTCTCTGAACTGGGTAATTAATTGCATACCATTTTTATTAAGGCTAATATTTCTGTTCTGTTAGGTTGAAATTTTCTACTCTTTATTTAGTATCTCAGCCAGAATGTGAATTTGAATGCCTGAATCTGGAGCTAATACAGTAACATGTTTTGTGCATGATGACATTTAACAGATGGTTTAGATTCGCTTCTGATGCTGTGCCTTTGTCCCTGCCACATCATTCAATGAGACACATTTGCAGGAACAAGGATCTTTTCAAGCTGTCTTTCATCTGCTGTAGGTGTGCAAGCCATAATAATATGGTTTTGATTCCTAGGTCATGTGTTTGATTCCTAGGTTGAACCTTTGCTCTTCTCTGCCACCAAGCCATCATTTCATGTTTCTCTGCTTAAAGAAATGTACCCGTACTAATGAAGGACTGTGCACTACAAGAACTTAGGTTTCATAGTTTCCTTTGAAAAAAGATTTTTTTCTAATGCAGGTACGTGCAAGAAATGCAACACCCTTCCAACAGATACACAGACTGAACAATTCATAGGTAGGTACCTTCAGTCATATATTCCATTCAAACTGCTGTAGTGTTGCTTTGTGATAAACTGGAAGGAAAGTGGACAGGCAGTCGATTTAGTTAGAAACAATAGCGTGCAAAATTAATCACTTTTTCACTTGTTTTAACAAAAGGTATCTTTCAATGTTTTGTCTTTCAAACTGTTTTTCCACTCCTTCTTCCCAAATCCTGCCTATCTGAAATGAAACTAAATATTTCTGCTTCCTGGAATGTTCCACAGAATAGGATTCTGTCCTAAAAGAAGCAGATTTTCTAGCTGAATTCACTCCCCTGTCACAACCACAAGGTTACCATAGTGTTCAAGCTTGCCTCATCAGCAACAAAAATCTATATGCATCATGGCAGATACCTTTCTTTCAGCAACTGCAGCCTCTGCAGACCATGGCAGGAACACAAAGCACTGGGACAGAGTAGAAAAATAAAATAGTTTTCTAAGCAGGGGAATCTAACCACTTCTAGTAGAGAGAGAGCATCTTAAATGAAAGCTAGCAGGATCAGCATGGATGCAGAATGAACACACCAGCAGATGCTTTAGGCTGAGTAGCTTTAGTTTTTCATTGGTTGATGTGTGGGCAAGTGTTGGGCATTTAAGTTCTACAGCAATCTACAAATCGTATGTAGGCCTTTAGCTATGAATGCGCTCAAGTGAGGAAATCATCATGGATTACCTTATGTTCCTCAGATGGCATATGCTGAAATAATAGATTTAAGTAGTGCTACTGTGATGAAGGTTACTTGCAGTAACCTTCCAAGGCTATGCAGACAAAGGGAAAAGAGGGTAGGCTTTCCTTAGTATGCAGCTCATATGATAAATTAGTCTGCTGTTTCTAGTGAAATTTTGACATTCTTGGCCCTTCTGACACAGAAGGAAAGGGAGAGGATGTCCTGCTAAAGCTAGGCTTAACAAGAACCTAGTTAATTGTAAGATGAAAAGTTTGTAGGCATATTGGTATCAGGCTCAAGAAGACTAAGCTTTAGCAAAAATTCTGGAGTGAATACAGCAACAACAAATGTCAGTATCTTAACAAGGGTTAATAAGCTTAGTCTTCATGCTTGGGTACAATGGACAGTGCAGTTTGCTTTGGCAGTGAAAGCGGAAATAATTGTAACTAAGGATTGGACAAAGCTCTGGGGCTTTCAAGTAGACTTCAGCATGCTTTGTGGCTCTTTGCTACTTCATCTGAAATCTTATTAAATGGCATGTGATTTACTTCTGTTAAGTCCTCATTAATTTAAAAATGAACTAATCTGAGTGGAATGAAAAGAGGCAGGATCAACTGATGGCATCCCAACACAAAGTAGAACAAAACCATAATTGCCTTACTAAATATAACCAAAGTGCATACACTTCATGCCTGCAAAATTTGCTCTGAAATTTATTCCTTTCTCCCCAGATCATACTCTAGTGTCTTAACTTTATAACAATTCATCAGTTTGAAATAAAAAAACAAGCAACCATGCATGGGGTTACCTGTCACAGATTGCAGCCAGTATTGAAAGAACCAGCTCTCATGGATGTATCGTGTTCTCCAGTGGGACCCTGAGACAACAGTTGGACAACTGGTCACTGTACAAAGAGCTTAATATTTTTGCAGCAGTCTGGCATTTTTGCTTTTGGTGATCTTCCTGCAATTGCATCTGGCTATTTACTACTCCTACGGATACCCCCAGATCTTGCAGAGGTAAAAGGATCTTCTAAGCTGGTGTGCATTATGAAGGAGAATTTCTTCTTGATGATGATTTGTGACTGGAGAAGCTGGGGCAAAGGAAGAGGTCTCAGATTGGGGGTAGGAAGAAGGCAAACGATGAAAGGTTTCTTTATTCTTGTCTGCCTTCAGAAGGGAAAGGATGGCTGGAACAGGAACCAGCACTGAGAAGAATGGGTCAGACACTTGGGATGCTACAGGAAATAAGGAGAAACCAGCAGAGTTTCTGCAGAAGAGGAAATACCCTGGCTGATACCTGATCATTGGGATCCCTGAAATACTGATCTGCTCACTGTGATTTTGAAGCCAGAGGGAGGATGTTTCCAAGAAAGACCAAACCTGCACTTTTCACACCCTATCTGGTGCGAAAAAGAGGTAGAATTTGCATCTCTCT